TTCTGGCACAAACAGATCAATTTATTATTTTCGTTTTTACGTCCAGCCTCCAGAGTCACCCCTCCTTTTATCCAGTAGCTGACAACAGAGGAAATCAAAACAATGCAAGGAGTTGATTTTGTAGTAAATATGAATCTATATGATGATGTGTTACCAAAAATAGACACTTACTGCCATAAGGAGAGTTAGCTGAGGAGCCATTAAGAAATCCAGGGGAACCTGGTACACCTAGATTGGGCATGCCGGCATTGCCATATCCATTCATGCTATTGCTGACTGTGTTGTAATTGGACTGCTGAGGAGTACTGCTGGGAACATATCCTCGCGGGGAAACACTGCTTGTGTTGCGACTGTAACCTACTGTGTTAGAAACCCCCCCACCCCAAAAAAATAATGTTATTTTATAAGATAGACTTAGGGCTGGGGGGTTTCCTCATGCAGCATATATTACACAGTTTTAATTGATTGCACAGCTTTGCTCTGGGTTGTCTCTCACTGCCCCTATCAACTCTTGCAGCTTGAGATAACCTTATCACGCCAACCCTACTTAAATCATCCGCGAGCACTCTATGTTGTCTCTCCTCTTAGCACAGACAGCCAACAAAAGCTCTCTTCGATCCAGCTGTGTCAGGTGCCTTCACGTTTGTCTTTAGGAGCAATTATCAACAGGCTCGAGTCCCGCTTTGTACCAACACACTGCGTGAACTTTCAGCCTCTCCACGCCTTCAAATGCCACAGCTGACAAGGAAAACTTTTTTGTKGCGGTGATTTACTTTAAAAGGCTGTTTTGGGGTCTTCATTTTGTGATTGATATTTTTTATGCTAACAACAAGCTTTYGTAAGGTGTAGCCATCAGTGAAAACTAATTCAAGAGCAAGTACAGAATTTTATAAGGCTTATTAGCTTGGAAACGCATTAAAAGACAATCTTTTTAGAAGAGGAAACATAGCGGAATCAGGATTTTAAACAACAATTTGTTCCTATCTGAGCAATCAATTTAATAATTACGTTGCAAGCAGAAAAAAAATGCGTTTGAACATATCTAATAATCCTGTTTCCCTCCTTTCATTAGTATCAAAATTAATTTTAAATGCAATATGCTGCATGCATTTTCAATTACAACAGGTAAATTAAATCAACTATTACTTTTATTAGTAACATATATGTCACACATGCCTACAAACAAAGTATTTTAAAATCACAGACATCAAATTAGATTTATCTGTGTAAATATTCCAAAACCAGGTGGAGGTACCTAGACATAATTATTTTATGAACCAACCATACACACTGTATATTTACTGCAAATAACAAAGAGCTTTCTACACTTTGCCAATTTTATTTTTTCTTTTCCCCCACTGGAGATGCTTTATGACAACAGTAAACGAAAGAACAAGAAGAATTAAATATTACGAGGAAAGTTAAAGACGGCATTTCATTCCGCGCTCAGACACGCGACTACGGGGACAGAGAGAGAGGGAGGACACGGCGGTGACATGGGCCCGCGCGAACGGGCCTAAAGCGGTCAACAAGGTGAAGGATTAACCCTTGAAACCCCACCTACCTTGGTCGTTGGCTTGCGATGTTTCGGAGACGTTGACGGCGAGCTGGCTGCTGAAGGAGTTGACCCCCATCATGCCGGTGTGGGCGGGAGTGTTGGCTAGAGTGGGGATCTGGTTGTGGTTGCGGGGCACGCTGTACAACGCCTCAGCAATGTCAGCTGCTCGTTTCAGGATTATTTCCTGGAGAGACACGAAATAAGCACCGACRACTCAGATTTGGGCAAGTGCTCCCAGTCGCAATAACGCTAAAATTTACCAAAGAGATTCGCGTGGAATTATAGTGAGGGTGGGGAGGTTCACTGCCTGTTTCAACAGCATCTCCTGTTTCCCCTCCCACACCAATTTCACCTCAGCACAGTAGGTATAAGGAAAGAAATACATTAACATAAAATTCCGGTTCAGCACTGGAAGTCAGGTGAAAATGGTCACAYGCGTTTTATTCGTCTGAGGCAGGAGTTGTATTTTCAGCAGTTCGCAAAATACGGTACAGTTGATCCGCTCGGCTGAGCAGATTTCTTTAGGACTTCCCATTAGTCACTGTATATTTTGGCCCGAGTTCAAGGTTATTCTCTTGCCTTAATGCTTGCTTATGCTTTTGGCACCTTGCACTTAATTGTCATTTCTGATGGGCAAACGAGCGGCCAGAGGAGAAGGGGAAGATGAAGTGCTTCCCTCGGAGCATTGCATCACATGGCAGTGCCCTGGAGGTGGCTGGCAAAGCCCGGCTGCCTACAAAGACGACGTGCTGCTGCTCTGCCAGCCCCGCACGGAGCAGCGATTGATCTACACGTGTCGGCCCGGGAACAAAGAGCGCGCCGCTGACCTACCTGGTTGTTATGGGGCATCCCATATAGAGCTTCAACAAGGTCTGCTGCTCTCTTAAGCAATACTTCCTAAAGGAAAACAAACAACCTGCGTTATGTTTCACTAAGRCAAGA